TGGTTAAAGAACCATTTCATATGGATTGGAAAACAATTCTTAAAGACCTTTGCTGGCAGTTATCACGTGGGTTTTATAATATTTATTTAAATGTTCCTGCTTTTGACTTAGGCGAGTTATCACGCTTTGCCATTTAAAGTCTGGCAAATTCGTCTTTATTATTGTTCTTAATGAATTACTTTTGATCCCAACTCTGTTATTATTTAAGTGAGGATATAAAATGTTTCAAATCATAAAATGAGCTGGAGGCTATATTTACTGTACCTTTAATCAAAACAGTGATTTGAGGTATTGATCTTTGATTTCCCGAAGAGACTTCTATTTGCCAGAGAGGTTTGAAATTCACTGGGGAACATTTATTTTGTATCTATTACTTTGATGTCCCTTTCATTTGTACACTGTAGTAGGAGCTATACTGTACACTACATTATTCCATGGATTTCAATAAATCTAATTTATGTTCCTGTAAGATGTCAGGGTTCATATGTTCTTTGAATGAGACAAGTGGAGTCCTTGAGACCAGGTCAAGAAATTCCCAGTCTTTTATGGAATTTAGAGGTTCATGAGATCTCTCCATGGGGCCACATGCTTACATCCTACTTCTTTAGGGTTAATTTTAATTTTATTCTCCCCTTTACATTTCTCAGTTGTCATAGTTTCATAACTCCTCAAGCCCAGAGAGAAGGAAACAAATTTTAGCCAGAGCAGACGCTCGAGGGTTCTAAAGGAGAATACGTCATTCTTCGCGATGTCTTAACACCACTGCGTAACGCAAGCCACGCACTGATTAATGATAATATTAAAAACTTAGCTCTCAGCCTAAAGCGCACTCCATAAAGGCGTGAGAGTAGAACTCCACGCAATTCAGACATCGTTAAACGTACATGGTGTGGAGTGGACTGATCTGGCTTAGGGTATGGCGCCCTGTTCCATGAATAACACTGAACTCAGGCTCAGTAAACAGGTGAAGGGAAATGATGATAAACTTGAAGACTTGAATTCTATAAAAGTAGCGAATTTGAAGTACATTCATGGATTGAAAGGAATGTCAGAATGCTCTTAGAAAATGAATCCTTGAATGATATTTAAGGATCCAGTCCTTACCGCGAAGAAAACACAACTCTTCACCATTACAGAGATCAACTGGTTGACGCTGTTTAAGGAATTGACCTCTGATTACGGCGAGAACCACACAAAACCCATAAAAACAAAGTCAGTAAACAGTTGAAGGGAAATGATGATAGTCTTGAATACTTGAATTCTATAAAAGTAGCGAATTTGAAGTACGTTCATGGATTGAAAGGAATGTCAGAATGCTGTTAGCGAATGAATCCTTGAATGATATTTAAGAATCCAGTCCG